TATTCTAAAACCTTTCTTCATGCCAATAGAACTACATGTAAGTACTATACTAAATTTTCCCGTACTGAAGGCATATGCGATAGTTACCTTGACTGACACATAAAAATACCCAAAACAAAATACCCCAAGACTTGAGGATTTTTTGTTCTATGAATTAGAGACATGAAAGGATTGCCTCGGCATCAGAAGTGTTACAAGCTCACATCTGTAAGTCTTTCTTGGATTTCCATATTTCTTATACAGGAATGTTCCCTGTCTGAAATATTTCAGTGTTCACTCTATATCTCAGTTTGAAAATTATCTAATCCTTTTTAATTTTCCACTACTTTTTCTCCACACATAGGACAAGCACTTGCTTTCAGTATGATGTTTAACACTTTTTATGTTTTTATTTCAGCCAGCTTGAAAACATGCTAGTAAACATGCAAACATATTGTAAAGGTTTAAAATTTGGGGTGTGTATACATATATCAACAGGAGTTATGAATTATGTATATCTGAGCCTATATAAATTAGATTTTGAAGAACAAGCATCAGAGTACTCAGGCAGGTCATAATAAGAGATTCCATCTGAAATGTAGAAACTACCTTGAATAAATTATCCATAAGTTAACACTCTCATTACAATGACATATTTATTATTTCTGGGTTGTGATGTTCCTTTAATGCACTCTGATTAACTGTTCTAATGGCACTTTAAGAAACCATTTCAAAATTTTTCCCCATTGAAATTTAGCACATTTTATTTACATTTGAACTAAAATAATTTAAAATAATGTAACATTAAAAACAATCACCCACTTCCCAATGTAGAATATCATTTTCTTCTGCCCAAAAATATTTAATTAAAGCAGGATATAACTTTAGTAATTATTTTCACACAGAATGACTCTAAAATTAATAGTCACTTGTAAAACTGTTTAAAAATTGGGAGACTGACAATGAAAACAATCTTAAATGCTTTGTTTATGTGACGAAAAGGAGTGATCCTTTAATTCCCTCACACATATTAAACTGATTTCACAGAGTTTCTGTACTGGTGTTTAACATAGTCAAGTGCTTGAGGTTACAATGAATAAACAATCTTGAGATCTTATTGCAAATGTTTGCAATTTATGATGTAAACTGATTTGTGAAAAAATAACAGGATCCATGTCGCTGAAGCCAAAAAGACATTTTTCAGAAATCAAAATAGTTCCGAAATTTGAGCACTGCCTTATACTAAAGTATTACCATCTGAGGATCTACAAAGTTTGTAAGTGTGGGGAAAAACTCAAAATAGATATTTATCAATTCAGCTTCGAGCAAAGGCCTCAAATCTTACCGGGCCCTTCTGTATCATGAGGTCCTTAATACTAATGTCTTGAATAATCTCTTTTAACTCGGTTTTCCCCTGTCAGGGATTTTGTAGCTCGGGAAGGTTTTGCACACCTTGAAAGATGGGGGGGGGGGGGGGAGTGGCGAAATCTCTGTTAATTATTTATTACGATTATTGAGTTTCTACCAAAACGACCTGCATGTTGGGCCTTATTTGAATTTAAAGGGAAGATGCTTCGGGCCCTTTCTCAGAGTGGCTGTGGAAACCCTGGGTTGGGAACCTCTCTCTCACACCCCCAGGCCCCTGCGGGCGAGTTTGGGCGGTGGCGCGGGGGACAGCCCAGGGAGAGCGTGCGTGGGAGACCGGGCCCGAGGGACGCGGCCCCCAGCCGCCAGGAAAGGCAGCCTCGGCCCTCGCTGAGTCTCGGGAGAGCGGACACCCCTGACGCTGGGTCCCACAGGCCGCGCCCAGCTCAAGTACCGCCGACCGGGCCAAGAAACTTTGGCCTTTCTCGCCCCGCCTGGCCGCTTCCGCTGGCTCCCCGGCCTTCCCCGCTCCCGCCGGGCCCCGGGCCCCGCGGTTGCGGCGCCCAGCCCACCCGGCTCCTGCTGCCGGGAACATTCCGGGCCGACCTAGGCCGTGCTGCCGCGCCCCCGTCCTGGTGACCCGGGCCTCGCCTGCCGGGGCCCAGACGTACATGCTTCCTTTGACCTCAAGCTTCCCCCGAGCTAAGCTGCGGGGACAGACTGGGTTTCGCGTCGGATGTAGGCTGGACCCGGGACGGAACATCTAACTCCCCCGGCCCCAAGTTCTCCCGTGACCTCCGACTTCCCTTGGGGTGCCCTTAGAAATGTCCGAACCCGCGTGGGGGCCTCCAGCAGGGTTGGGGCTGGGAGCCTGCGTGTTCGGACCCTCGGGCCCGGCGCCGACCGGAGCTCGCCGGAGGCCACCCCGTCAAGGCGGGCGCCCCGGCGCTGCCGATTCAAGGTGCACCCCGCCCCTAGGCAGATGTTTATTAGGAAAACTAAGGACAGCTAAGAGACCTAAGAGACCTGTCAACTTGTCAACTAGGAGACTTGCAAGGCCTGGGCACTGAATACGGCCCAAGTCCTGTTCAGTGGTCTTTGAAAGTTAAAAAGATAAATATAAAGATATAACCCACGTCTACTCAGACGAACAGCTTTGAGTGTGCGAGCTCAACCCGGGAGAAGGCCGGGTGGGGACGACGGGAGCATTACTGGAAGACGCGGGGCTTTGTCGAAGGGGTGGGGTGGGGGTATGCGTCCTCCGGCCCAAAGAGGGCCCCAAGGGACACTCGGGACACCCTTGATCATCTCGGAGGATGCCCCCATCCCCAGAACCCGCGCGGGAAAAAAAGGTCCTGTCCCCGGCCTGGCCGGGGCCGCGTCTTCATAGTCTCTACCCACCCCTAAACAGGCAGCGCTTTCGGGTTTTACTAGTGAGATTTCTTCCGGGAGAAGGGGGCACGGGGAGGCGGGAGGGAGGGAGGGTATCCTCGGTATTCTAAGGACGGCTAGGACCCGGCTTTTCCTAAATAGGGCCCTTGCTTCTACCTTTTCCTAGATTTAACCAACGAAAAATCTGCTTGGGCCAAAGCGCTAAATTGGAGTGTGGAGGTGGGGGATCCGCCCCTCCCAGAGCCCCAGTTCCCCTCCGCGGCTTTTACCCACTCCCAAACCTTCATCGCTTGCTTGGGGAGGGTCGTCGACCTGGGATCGAGTGTCCGTTATGCCACAATTAACCCAGGTAGATTTCGCACCGTGTGATCCCGCTTCCCTTTCTCCCCAAACTGCTCCCCGAAAAACTTCAAGGGTGAAAGTGCATCAAAATGAAGTATGAGAGTTTGTCTTAGGGAGTCTATTTAATATTATTTTACATATTATCTGTTCCTTTATTGATTTGGTGTAAAATCAATCCGGTTTCTATGCTGGGTGGATGAAAAGGGGGTGGGGGTTGCGCTCAGCGATATCGAGAGCCACAGCCACCATTCTCACGGCCCCTTAATAGCTGCACGTAGAAGCAGAGGCAAGCGCTTTTCTAAGTTGATGTAGTCGAGAGATAGATACACATTAATCAAAAAGGAAGAAGGAAAGACTATCCCGGATAGTTTAATAGTAACAGGAACAAAGATGACGCGAACCCCATTAAATGAAACAATACTATTTTCATTCAATTGATCGCAAAGTGTCTTCAATTAATAACTTGGCACTTATTTAAAAGGTTTAACAGAGGTGAAATCGAAACATTTTGTACCAACAACACATCATGAAATAACAGCATCTTCTTCTGCTTAAAATAACTTAATACACTAGAAAAAATATGGCAAATATAAATAACTTTGTTTTCATGGAGAACAAATAGTTACAAAGCTCAACCGCATACCAAAGTTCAGTTAAAAGAGCTTTTCCTCTTTCTTGTAAATTAGAAAAAAAAAAAAAAGCTAAGGAGGCTTTCTAGTGATTGGGATACAGATTGCTTAGTCCAGGGTACCCCAGTTTAAATAGTTACATGAATTGAAACAAAAAAAATTACTTGAATATACACCTTTGTGTGATAAAATGCAAATGTTGAAAGTCAACCATCAGTTCACACATTATAGCCAAAATAAACTTTGTTTGTGTGTATCAACATATTTTACACAAACCTACTGCCTGTATCTAGTTGGGTATTATTTAAGGTGAGTGTGACAGGATAGAGAGGGGGAAATAAAGCAAGGTTTCCAAATAGGACATCAGGAAATCAGCAGGAGGGAGTACAAGAAAGGAGAAGGAGAGGGGACTATCATTGATTGAGCGCCTACTATGTGCCAGGAGCCGTGTGAGGCGCTGTACCTTTATTACTTCATTTGGTCTTCTTTTCTTTTTCCTTTCCCCACATTTTCTGCCCGCCTCCGTCTTCTTGGGACAGAGTGTAGACTTTTTCCCTTCCGACCTTTTTCTTTTGTCCGACAGGATCAAAGATGGGGCAAAAATTATAGATTTGATATACATCAATTTCCAGATGCTTTTGGTATTGTTTTTCGTACTGAAGATGAAAATGGAGTAAGTGCATGTGAGTAAAGCAGGGAGCAGGGAGACACCAACAATGGAATACAAGTAACATGCAAAACCGGAATTTACTGTCAGCAGTCTGGACAGTGCTGCCATAATAATTTCTCAGAGAAATCATTGTCTGTGGTAACATTTTTTGTATTAATATCATTTTTTTTTCCTCTCCTCGTTTTTATATTGTCTTCCCTCTTCTTACTCTTCCATACGTGGTGGTTTTTAACTCAAAGCATCTGATTCAACGTAAAAGGAGGCCCGCCTCTCTTATCAAATTTCTTGTATTAAAGTGAACTTCGCAGAAAAAGGTCAGTTTCAAAACCTGTGAACTTCCCAGCTGCGCACTTTTTAAATCTTAATTCTTTAAATAAGTATACCTCTTCCTTCTGTTTTGCCTTTTTTAGCCCATTAAAAAAAACATACACTTTAAGTTGATACTCCCCCCCCCCCCCATTCTCTCGAGATTCGTCCGGGTTATTTTTCCATATTTTTAAATGTATAAAATACTTTAATTTTTAAAATTTGTTTTTGTTCCTTGGTTCTTTCTCCGATTTCAACTTCTGCCAAATAGCAGTAAGTTCCCTTTCTCTTTTTTCTTTCTGGTTTGTCTTTTCTACTTTTTTTTTTTTTTTTTTGCTCATTTTTTATTAACAGGATTTTTATTTCTACGCGAGTCCATCGTTGCAGCTTTGCCGTGAGCCACACTCCGCTGTCCCAGCGCTCCGTTGTTCAGTCTCTCTCCAGACTTCCCGAAAACTTGCCCCTATGAAGCCGAATTCTACGCCCTTGGGTAGGTGAATGGTCAGGAGCCACAGAGCTGGTGCGCCTAGTGGGATTCAAGGTCCCGCGCGGAGTCTCGCCCTCCGAGTCCGGGATGTGGAAGGCGGCAAAGGCCGGTCAGCGGGGCGGAAATAGGGTCGGTTCCGGAGGTCCGGAGGGGTTAAACGGAAAAGCAGCGGGGCACGGAGGATTTGCAGGGTGCGTGCCGCGCTGGAAGCGCGACGTTGGTGCTGGCGTTGGCGTCACAGACCCAGGGCGGCAGCGTGCTTTTTGGCTTTCAGTCTGAGATCGGCGATGCTGGAGTTCTTGCTGGTGGTCTTGGCTGCGGCGGCGGCAGCCACCACAGAGGCGGCGGAGGCTGAGTCCGCGGCCAGCGTGGCTAGCGGCAGTCCGAAGGGCGGCGCCGGGAACATCATATAGGGCGCGTGCGCGGCCAGGTGCGGGTGCAGGTGGTGGTGCGCGTGCGCCACGGCGCTGTCCAGCTGCAGCTGCGCCTGAACCTGAAAGGACAAGGGCGTCACGTTGCAATGACTATCCTAGGGTGACAACAGAATAGAAACAGAGCATTAACGGCGTCCAGCTTGGCGAGGGGGAAGGCTGGGGCTGGGGACAGGAGAGGGGAGTTCGGCTGACCTTCTCAGTCTGTTACTGAATCTGGGGCGCCACAGGGATACTCCGGTGCGCCAGAGTCTCTGCAACTCTTCAGCACGTCTTATCTCCCTTGGCCCTAGGGGACTCCTGTCTGCAGGAATGTGGCCGCCCCCCTCGGGAGCTGGGCCCATCAGAGGGCAACATTGCTATTGTGTTAAAACATCGCCCTCCTCAAAATTACAAAAGTAATTTGGAAAGGCTCTCTTGATGTCATCATACACCTCTTACCCATTAAAGCACTGAAGTACTAACAAGCAAACTATAAAACTTTTCCCTGTCACTTGGGGACATTATTGCATCTTCATCACAACTGGCACAATTGTTAGTACTTCTAACCTTTACTGCTATAACAATTACCCTTGTTATAAAGCAGATCTTCTTAAAAAATGCAGATTCTGATTCAGAAGGTCTGCATTGGGACCTGAGATTCTGCATTTCTAACAATCTCCCAGGTGGTGCTGGTGCTGCAGGCCTGCAGATCACTTTCTGAGTAGTAAGGGTCTCCTTTTTAGATCCCACACTCTCTCCAATCATTCCCTCTTGCTTCAAAAGCCTAGCATTGGGATGCTAGCTAGAGTCCTGTGGTGCCAAGAGAGCTAAGATCTCCCTAACAGTAACCGTCAATACATGGGTACACCCGTGTGTCTCCCCAGTCCAGGGTGCTGCCAACTGAGAGCTAATTCTTGACTTCACAGCCCTACCAAGCAGGGGTCCCAGCTGAGGAGGGGGAAGGTCAGGCACTGGTTGGGTAAGGATTGAGCCCTTAGGCTTGGAGAGCAGGAGCGTTTAGAGCACTGGGATTTCCAAGGATTAAATCATTGCTGCAGGCTGTCCTTTTAACATGTTGTCTTAAAGGTTACTTTATGCCTAAGAAAGGGATTGCAGAGGCAGGACATCCCTGGGAAGACCAAGGCTTCCCTCTCTACTGAGATGAAGCTTTGTTTGCAGAGACAGGTTTAAAAAATCAAGTATGAGTTGGAAGTACTTTTATTTATTTACTTTTCTTTTGTCAGAGACATTTAATGTGACTAAGAGGTAGGAAATACCTAGAAAAATATTTAGAAAGTTGCCTTAGAAAACGCCTTAGGACTAACCTCTGTATTGGATCTGACAAAATCTTAATAAAAGGCTTTTCCTTCCTCTCCCCAAGTGCAATCTTTAGTGCATTTTTAAAGGACCAGTCGCTGGCCTCAGGCTTCTGCAGGTTTCCCATGAGGAAAGAAAGGACTAGGCATGTAGGCCCTTGACATTTTATAGGTTTTTAAAGGGGAGTAGATTTCACTATATCATCTCAAAATTATTCTTCAACCACATGGACACCAACATGGGACTCAAAGAGAGGGTATATTCAACAATTCAAGCAAAATCCAGGTCTTTTTACAGTTAAAAACAAGTTGAAACTGGGCTATACTTGCCTGCTGAAATGGCATCCTTAAAGCACCTACATTGACATAGGGCGCAACTCTACAAGCTTCAAACTGGCTGGCAGCCCCTATGAGAACACCTGTAAAAAAATAGGGAACAAAACACAATAATGTGAGGATAACATTTCCAGCATTGTTTTCCAGGATTCCAAATAATACCAAGATAGAACAAATTCTTTTGGAATTGGACTGTTATCTTCCTAAATAGCTGCCATAATTAAAATAAATGTAATGTACTTCCAAACTTTAGGACTCTCATTAACTGCCTTCAGAGCAGATTTTTAAATAGAGACCATGATTATCTTTCAGAGTTTCTTTCTGACTTTGTATAACAATATTGCCCAGTTCTCTTTTTACTTAGAATATCAGATGTCCTTTGAGAAGCATACCTTTATGGAGTTGATTTTCTTGTTTTCTACATTTTGCTCTTCGATTTTGAAACCAAACCTACAAATTGGAAAAATAAAATAAAACCTAGATGTTATGAACTCCTTTAATTACCAAAGTACAATGAAAAAACAGTAGTGTTTTAGGCAAGAATTGAGAGATATAGCAAACAATATTTGAATTATAAAAAACACTCTCAATTTCCAAAGTCAAATAATGTAAATGAATGACAAAAGTAGATTTCATAGACTTTTGCAAGATAAATTGTTTCTTGATAAATTACTATTAGTCCTGGTTTCATCTTTCTACATTAGAGTCCCCAAGGCCTAAAACTCTCCATGATACCTGATACTAAAGCGATAATGGGTTTAGATGTTCGCCCAGTAAGACCTGAGAAGAATGTGCTCATTAATAGCCTGTAATATTAATTAGCTTCATCTTCAAGAAAAACCAAACACCAAAGCAAATAGTGACTCTGTTTTTTTTTTTGGGGGGGGGGGATAAAAGTGGGGGAAGAGTTAATTAGTGCCATAAAAGCCTCACTACAAAGAAGTTTAGGATTTCTCTGTTCCTCTGTGCAGCAGAGTGTAACACAGTAGCAGAATAATTGTACCATTATCATGATAATCTAATTTGCTTCTATAGAAAAAATCTACTGCTTACATTAGGGTAATAGAAAATAACCCTAAAATTTAAAGAAAGGTATGAAAAAATGAAGACCAGTAATAAAGTTCATTTCTTATGAGAAAAACAAAAACAAAAACAATAGTCTGTGTAAAGGGGAAGGTAGGAAGGTATGAATCAAGTAACTCCTGGAAACTGTCTTCTCCCAGATATTACCTTCTTAAATAAACTTGCGAACTTTTAGAGGCAGTATGACAGATTTTTAAAAATTCATACAAAGCTTGCTTTTACACTCCAATCATACAGCATTATGTTCCAATAATACAGCATATTGACTGATTCACAAATTAAGGTTTGAAAAAAACTATAAAAGAAAAATACTGCTTCAGAGCTTTTTCTTGTTTTTGAAAGCAAGTGTCATAGTCAATGTAAATCTTCAAAAATTCCCCTGCCATTTAGTGTAATAGAAGGGGAGATTTCATGCCAGGGTGGCATCCTTTGTATAACTCACATGGCCTGAGGCTTCTTGCCTCTTTTTTCCCCTGGAAGAGTTGGAACTGAGAAACTAATGCTCATAACTGTAATAATTATCATCGTGTCTTTAAGGGGTTGCTGAGCCTCTAGAGATTTCAGTACACACAGCAAAGCAGCAAAGGCTTAAAAAGGAAGAGCAGAGCCTTCTATTGACGGCTGTGATGACCAAGGCAGCCTATTATTACTTTTCCCCTTCAACGTGACTGCTCTGTTTTTGTCCTGATCCTATTACAAGATGCGGGGAAGCCCCCTAAGAATTGCATAGTTTGCTGCAGATGGTGGTCTCTCTGCCCAGAGACCCCGGGAGTATCTGTTACAGTGATACTTTGTAACAGCTGCAGATGTTCAGGCCTAAAACTGCTCCATGTGTTCAAACAAATAATGACCATCATTTTCTCCTATTTTATTATTTGAGCGGAAATACAATCTGAAACATTTAAATGTTTTCTCCATAAAAGTAGAAGGATATATATGCATGTATATATATAATTTTCTACCTTGAATGCCCCCAAAGCCTATTGCCATTACTTTCATCCCCACAACCAGTAAGAAAACAAAAAATAAAAAACAAAAAACCTGTTCCAATCCTAACTTCATCACGTAAGGCACTTGTTGGGTGTTGGACTGTGGGAATGCCAATATTAAGATAGTGAGTTGTTTTAAAATCAAGTTTCTGTAGGTTCAGGTTTGCTGTCTTGGTTAAGTGAGGGAACAAAGAGTGACCAAAATGCATTTATTTCTCTATTGTTTTACACACAGTTTGAGATCGACTGCTAACGGCAAACTGTAAATTTCCACACTTAACAGTTGCTAATTTTCTTTATAGTCTGTACATCTATAAACCTAATTGGCATATCCGCTTGGCAACCCTAGACCCCGGAGCAGGCCCTCAAGGAAAACCAACTCAGGCGAACAAAATATTCGTTGTAACTTTTAAGGCATCCAGAAGATAAAACGTTTTCTGTGGGATTTTTTTTAAGGCTTATAAAAGTAGGCCCATTAGGATTAAACCACATTAAAGGCATCGTAAGGCGAGGGGAGGGGGTGTGGTTTATAGAAACTCTGGGAGCAAGCCCAGCACAGCTTTCTTCTGCTGGGAACATATGTTGGGATGGGGTGGGGGTAGGCTACAAGACTAAGATTTACTTTGGAAAATAAGACCTCTAGTAAAGATATCCCTTCCCTTCTCACCTTACTCGAGACTCTTGAACCTGCGCCCTCTGTGTGTGTCTCCCAAGCTGCCTCTCTAACCCCCGAGTGCCCCTCCACCACTCCCTGGGCCCTGCCTTGACCTCCTCACAGCTGGATACCTGCACTCGGGCTTCGGACAGCCCCAGCCGTTGGCTCAGTTCCTCGCGCATGAAAGCGTCCGGGTAGTGGGTCTCATCAAAAAGCCTCTCCAGTTCGTTGAGTTGTTCCAAAGTGAAATTGGTCCGACTTCGCCTCTGCTTGATTTTGGTCTGGCCTTCGTCCTCCATCCCTTTTGCATCCTCTTTGCGATCCTTCAGCTCTGGGGACACTGGAGGGGGCACCACAAATAGAGCCACGCGTATGTCCACGTGCGCACACAGACACACAGACACACACACACACACACACAGACACACACAAGGACAAAAACAACACAGCAAATCCTGTTACCAGATTTGTCTCCAAAAGGATGGAGGATCCTGCCCCCTCCTGGAGTTCCTGGCCAGTCCCTCACCCTGTCCTGAGGAAGAAGATTCTGGAGACGCGAAAAGATCAACTCTGGGCGGCCGCCTGCCCCCGGCTATTCACCCACTCACCCCTTCGCAACTGTAGCCTCAACTCACCTCCTCACTGTCCACTCCACCGTCCCCTGCCCACCCCCGCGAACCCCAAATCCATTCCATTCAACCTCTCTCGCGCTCACCCTCTCCCACGCACACAGAATCAAAAGCATCGCGCGGGGCCAGACACAGAACCCGGTAAGGGCAGAAGGGCGCGGCGAGGCCATGCACTGGCCTCTCACCGGCTATTCCCAGAGAGCTGGGCCATTCTCAGGCCAGCTCCGGCCACCGCTGGCTCTCTGTTTCTCTCAAACTTGCTGCTCTAATTTGGGAACAATTGGGCCCAAGGGTTGCAGCGGCTGAACAAGACCCGGGTGCTGAGCGGTACTGGGAGCCGCATCTCAGGGCTTTCGATGCTGACCCAGGGCTCGAGCCTAACCCTGCGGAGGGCCCACGGGCGGCCAGGCAGTCCCTAACCCTCATGCCGGACATTGGGAGCCTGAGCAGAGGAGCCCACGCCATGTTGACTGCCTGAAGGGCTTGCGGCTCACGCCAGGCCAAAAGGCGAGTGGCGGAAAACTAGCTTCGCGAGGCGCGCGAAATAGACCGCTCCCTCTGTTCTCTCCTTCTCCCTCCCCACTGGAAAGGCGGACTCGACCCTGAATGCTTAAACCCACAGAGATCAACAGGTTCAAGCGGAACATTCGTGATCCTTGGTTTCTATTGGTTGCTCAAAGCCTTTTCATGCATCCAGCAGCTCGGTTGTTTAATAAAATATGCATTTTTTTTTCGGCTTTGGGTTTGCACACATCCGTTGCTACTTTACTGTCCTTCCTTCTCCTCCCTTTAAAAACAGCTCTGCGAATGTGAGCATACAGAGTCACCCGAGGGATAGGGATATATATATATGAATATATATATATATGTATATATATATAGGCCAAGGGGCAGTGATCAGGGGAGCCCATATCAACATAAGCTGCCCTCTGGAACCTTCATCCTCTGCGCCTGAGTCGGAGCCTTGGGTTTTTAAGGTGTCAAAGCTGAGTTTAGATAGTCGAGAGGCTGTTTGCAGTTCTTCCTAGCCCAGGATCCCAGTCAGCATGGGTGTTAAAAATCATTTCCGGAAGAGCCGGCCTGCAGAGAAATTAATACTTGTCCTGAGCTTGGAAATCAACAATCCCAGGACTGTGTCTGCCCGGGTTCAGACCCTAAGGGCGCGATGCGGCGGGCTGGTGTACCCAGGGCCTGGAGCTGCAGACTCACGCCTGGGAGGCTGCACTGAGCCGCCTGACAGTTGTGCCATCATTTTCCAAATTTAGGAGGATCTGCTGCCTGGTCTGGGGGAAGAAGAGCTTCTAGATCCCAGCCCAGTCTAGCATTCTAGCTATGGTGATCTTAAGTGTTGTCCGCATTTCTTGTACTCAGAGTTCGTTTTATGGACATTTGTCCTTCCAGCGGGAAGGAAGCGGATAACATTATAGCAAATACTCGGAGCCAAGTTAATAAGAAAATATTTGCACTGATATTGTAATGAAATTTAAATATGAAAACACATCCTTCAGATTCTGCCAAAGGGTTGAGAAGGCTTTGTCTATTTCGTGTCATCCACAGTGGATGCCTCTCAAACTTTTGGAGCTTCAAAGAGAAAGATGTCCACATTTCTACTTGATTAATAGACTTAATAGACTCTATTTCGCCCCCAAATTTCCATTTATTGGCCTAAACAGGAACAGACCGTGTTATAAACAAGTTAATTGCTTGCTTAAATATGTGATTCTACGCATGTCACATATTTTCTTAATTGGAAAAATATGGCAGCACACCAGTTACTGCAGGCACCAAGTGCCAGATTAATTTTATTGTTGAACTCTTTTGAATTGGTACAGGACGCTCCACCATTTAGATAAAGCCATTTCCTAACACTTTGCTGGCACCAGAGGATTTCTCACCACCCCCCTCCGACAAAACCAGAGTACTAAATGATTCGAAACAGCAATGGAATTGTGTAAATATCGAAAAACCAACCAAAAAAAAAAAGGAGCCTAACGCGTCTCCAGAGAGAAACAGCCTAGCCTGCCTTGGCCCTGTTCAATCTTAATAGCTCAAAGAGAATGAGAAGTTTTGACCTCCAAGATCCCAGAAGCCAGGATCTTCGTCGAGTTCGAGTGGATCTCAGCCGCGGCCCGAAACCCTGGGGCGACCCGAGGGTGAAATCTCTCTCTCCTTCCTCTCTTTTTCTGTCTTTCTCAGGCCTAGGAAAGGGGCTCCTTCAAACTAGGCGCTAGATGCGAACCGTAATCCCGCCGCCTGGCCCAGCTGCTGTCAGCACCCCCGCCGCAGCCGGGCCCAGCGAACTTCCCCATCCGCCCGCTGGACGTCTGGGCTGCCGGCCCATCCTCCGGCTAGTGAAATGCGCTACAGTGGAATGGAAATAGCGGGAGCATCTGAGAAAGACGCGCTCAAACCCCACGCCCCCCGTCTTCACATACACTCGGACCCCACCCACGGCCGTGCACACCACCGGACTTCCACCCCTCCATCATCACTCTAGCTTCCAAAGCTGGAGTCCAAGGGCCCTCTCCGCGTCCCGCCCCTCTCCCCCTGGGCCTCGGGGTCCTCTCCCGCCTGAGAGGAGTCAGGAAGGCGGGAAGGGGAATCGCGGCTGGGGGTTTAGGCCGTTACCCTCGGTGAGCCGCGGGCTGCCCGGTTCCCTGCTTCTCTCAGCGGCGCCCATGTCCAGCTCCCGGACGGGAGAGCGCCCTCCTCCAGCTCCTCCGCCTGCTCCTCCTCCTCCTGCACCTCCTCCGCCTCCTCCGCCTCCGCCTCCGCCTCCTCCTCCGCCGCCGCCTCCGCCGGCCGCCCGGACTGCCGGGCTGCTGCGGTCGTCGCGGCCCGGCTCGGCGCAGCCCGTCGGCTCCTTGGTCCCGCGCAGCGGCCCGCTCTCCAGCACCTCTCGGTACGTGATCGCCTCCTTCTTCTCCTTCACTTTCTGGTCAAAAGACTTAGAGACGAACGCCGTAAGTTCTTCCATCGCCGCCGATGCCGGTCAGCCCCGCGCTCAACCTCTCCCAGCCGAGCCCCGCTCTTTTTTTCCTTCTTCTTTTTTTACTGCTCCAGCCCCCCCAATAATAACACATCAATGGGGCAGGGGGTGGGGGAGGAGCTGGAGGAGGAGGAAGAAGAAGAAGAAGAAAAAGAAGAGAAGAAAGAAGAAAGAGGAGGAGAAGTAGGAGAAAAAGAAGTAAGAAGAAGAAGAGGAGGAGGAGGAGGAGGAGGAGGAGGAGGAGGAAGAGGGAAGGGGCGGAGGCCGCCGGAGGGAAATGGGAACTGATGCTTCCCTGCCGGAGCGCGCTTGTTCAATGTTAAGATCTTTGACAATTCTAACTGCGGAGAGTTCAGATCTGATAGCAATGCTGCGCTTGAAGTCTCACTATTTATACTTCGCAAAGGCGGCCCCTTGTTCTGAGTAAATTACCTCCCCTCCGCAACTCGGAGGGAGCCCCTTCCTGGGGAAGCACCCGCACCACTACCTGGGGGTGGGGGAGTGGGGGTTGGGAGGGAGGAAGAGAGGGAGAGAGGGAGAAAAAGAGAGAGAGATTGAGATTGATTGAGGCTGGAGTCCAGGCAGGCTGGAGCTGGAGTGGGAGGGCAGAGAAGGGGACGGGAGGGGGCGGGAAGAGGAGGCTGGTCCCAGGCCGTCCGGGTTTTCAGATAGCCTCGGCCGCCTGTGCTCCTGGCCATTAATCCAGGATTGACGAGAATCCCTAATTAATTTAATTAGGCGTGGATTTTGCGTTGGTGTCACGATTCAGTTAAACACTGGGGAGCTGAACCTACTCCGCCGGGGCGTGGCCAAGAGGAAACTGACAAGTGCGCGGCCGCTGGAGTCAGTCGGGTATCCGGACTCCGCATCCCACCCCACAACCTCGCACCGCGTCAGGGTGCAGCGCAACTGTTCCTCCCTGCCTTGCTGCCAGGCTTCCTTGACCTGCGTTAGGCGCCCCGCACCCCAGTTCCGTATCCTGACCCTGTTGTCCCAATCCTACATCCTCGCTCCTCCCACCCTACAACCCACACAACCCGGCAACCTGGGTTCACAAACCTGCCCAGAGTCAGGGTACTTTACAGCTTCCCAGCCCAGCGCGGCTCCTTAAGGAGACTTCCCGGCTCGCAGCCAGAGCTGAGTCTGGGTCTTCACTAAGCTCCTCGCCCCGGGGAGTTTGTGATTCACCCACTACTCGTGCCCTGGAGCCCAAGCCGACACCTCTACAGACAAACCCAACTCGTACGCGCCAGTCTATTTAACACATTTCCCGAGCAGCTGTTCCCTGACAGATTCCATTTTTAAAGTGTTTCCTTAGCCCCTGGTCAAGGACAGTTTGACTTCGTTCCTTCTTTGAGGTCTCAGGATCCTGACCCCTTTTCCCTTAAAACTCCCTGCACCCAGACCCCTCCCACAATTAACTACAGGAGTTCTTTAGTATCCTCAGAAACAGTCTAGTTGATTTCCTAATTTTGAAAAGCAAATTATTTCCTCCCTCTTTGAGTTTGAAAAAAATTCACGTTAAGTTTACACCCCATCTAATTTTACTTACCATGGACTATTCAAAAAGAGGGTCACCAGGAGAAAGGTTTCTCTCTCTCTCTCTCTGTCAAAGCCACAATTTAAAACTTTATTCCTGGACTATTTTCATCGAAATAGTTTGTTATATGGAAGTAACATCTATATTACTGAGTCATTTGTACTGTGTAGGACAAAGCTTGCAGTGAGCAGTGTGGCCATGTATATATCTCACACAAGAATATTTACATAGGAAAGTTATAATTACTTGAGTCTACAAACAAATATATCTCTTCAAGTGTGGTTTGGGGGACATTTTCAAGTAGTATGAATATTAGTGCAGGTTTTCTTCTGATGTTAAAGGTAACTTGTTCATCTTCTTGGATCTGATACTCTCAGTAAAAATAAAAGCAACTACAGAACTTTGATAGGTATACTTCTGCCCATCAGTTAAAGCATGAACACGAAGTTAACAGATAATTTGAGAACTGTCATCAAAGCAACCTGAGTCATTTGTAAAAAGAGAAAACAATTATAACAATATATTAATGGTTCTAGAATATATACAAATAGAGGTTGTATGTATCTTTGTCATACTTTACTACTCTTCAGATTAAAATGTTCACATTTAGTGAATTTAAGGAAAATGAAAATCATACTTTTTAAAAAGTATTTAACATTTTAAAATGTTACTTTGCCTTTTTTTTCTTTTGAATTCTGAAGTTATCCTTTGTTCTTCTTAAAACATTTGTTGCTGTATTTAGGAGAAATAATTAAAATCTTTAAGTTTCCAGTAGCAATAGCTTTTAGGTATTAATGAATTACATGAGTGCTTGCTTCTATTTTATCAGACTACAAAAGAGACTCAAATACTCACATTTTCCAAAGTTATATGAATTTAGAAACATGATTTTATACTTAGTCGTGGTTTACTACTTGTAACCACTTCAATTCTGATATTATCAGAGAGGAATAACCATAATCTTTAATCCTTTGTGAAAATCCATTTTTCAGATTTTTTAGCAGAATGACCAGGAACGGGGTCAGCTAAATGGACGTGGTGCTCAAAGAGCTCTGAAACTGAGGTGTTAAATATGTATTCACAAACAGCTCCAACATAACCACAGTTAGAAGTCTGGCAAGGGATCAGGAGACTCACTAGCTACTTTTTAAATTCCATCTACTACTGAGCTTGAGGGAAAGATGACCATTTTAAGGGTGATCAGGGAAGGCTCAGACCAATCATCGTGTAGTTCACACCAAATTGATTTTCCCATAGATTTTCCTAGCATATTGGCTTTTTGTATATATTTAGGAATAGTGGTGTTAATATCAGATGGGGCTGTGAGAAATCTGCAGTGTCTCACCACAGATTCCCACTGGCCCAAGGGAAGTTTAGTTAAAAACAACATCAACAAGGTTCTTAAAATGCTTATGAAGTTCTAATGATGTTGTTTCATTAGATAAAAAATATTTTCTTGAGACAGGGTATTTCAAAATGTAATTTTGGTAAAAAACATTGAATAACGTTTAGTTGACAGCCTGCAGACAGATACAGGAGTTCCAATAAATTCAGGACCCCACGGGGCTCCCCAGCTCTTGAATTATTTAAAATAAACACGTAGTGTAGTAGTTAAGTTTTAAAACGGTCCCTCGAAACTGGTTATTTAAGGTACAGCGGAAAACTGTAGCTTGGATATCATATCAGTTGTGAACGAGCTGGTTCTCACAGTCGACCCAAACCAAGGCCAAGAGTTTATTCACCTCCTTTCCTTTTCTTACAGATAAATAATGTAGTATGAGTTACAGAAAATGCTGAATCGCTGTAATTTCTATTGGCTTAAATAACAAAAAACCTATATATTGAATTTTTCTTTCAGAAGAAACCTCGTCCCCCTGCCCCAGGCAGCCTTCTCCCCTTCCTCCACCAACCAGTTAACTTTAATATGGGAAACTAATTTGCACCCAACCTGTGAATGCCTTCACCTTCAGGGTAGAAGAAACACCGATTTTAATGCATTTTTGCAAATAAATCATTAGAGTTTAATCACACACGACTCTATACAGACACAGTCCCATGATTTATTATCGTTGGGCTAGTTTCCTCCTCCCTCAGAGTGAGATAACCAATTTCGCTACGTGTGGTGTCTTAAACATAACTTCCTACGATGCAGATTTGTTTACTGATTATCTAAGACGATAGCGACGATTACTAAGGCAATAACACTTTTCAGTCTCCACCTTTATTGCTTTTTGGCAACAAGAAAATCAAATAAGCAAGCACGCAAACCCAACACCAAACAAAAAATTGGCGGCGTGACAATCTACTCCCTCCGCACTCCTCTAACTCCTGGCAGCCTCTATCGATGCACTCGGAAGCTCGGCTGGCGCTGCCTGGCGCTGGAACCAGGAAGGCGGTGAGCTTAAACTGAAGCAAGTTCGGAGGACGGCAGCGGCGCCCAGATTTGAAGGAACGTTTTTTGGTCTGTGGCGCTTGCAAGTCCACGGGAAGCGTGAGGCCGAAGGCCGGGACCCAGGTGATGCCGGCATCTGGAGTCCGGGAGGCGGTGCCTGCGGGCGCAAGGTTCCGAGGCCCGGCTCCGGCGAGAGGCGGCGCGGGGCCTGGCGCAGTCCGCCAGGAAGGCGGCT